ACATACATACATGTATATGACACACACACACACACACACACACACAATATTTAGAGATGATCTTTAATCACATTAAGTAGATGTACAGTATCTAATATTTTTAAAAATTGCTAAAAATTAACAATTAAAAAATTAATCTCTTAAATAACATCTTTGCATTTCTTTATAATAAAATTCAATTTTTTCCCCAATAGTTGCTTTAGAAATTTTTGTATATACATTTGATGACTGACTAGAAGTTGTTTCATCTATATCAAATAAATTATAGATTTACAGGAATGTTATTCATTTTTCTTTCCTTAGAAATATTTAATTCCTAATGTGAAATAATATGAAATAATATGAAATTATTTCATACTGAATTAATTTTCATGTATTAATTTCTTTTTGAATACAGAATGCTATTTTGTTTTTATTGTATGTAATTAAGCATCATCTCACAATTTCCAATAAGGATGTTGAACGTCAAGAAGAAATTAGCTAGTATACTTGTGAAAAATTCTTTTGAAAACAAGATTCGTTTTTCAATAATCGGATTTATAATTATGAGCTATTGATAAATAATAGGGGATTTAATAACATTCCTCAAATTATTTTACAAATGTTGTATAAAATTAGGAGACTTCGCGAGAACTTTACAAGAAACAGTCAAACAATTAGAACATAACAATCTTAATAATTATAAAAATCTTAACAATTTTTTAATATACTTTACAACGTTCTCTTAAATTTTTTGCAAACATACGATATTCAAATTTTCAATTTAAAAAATTTTCTGACTTAAGTTCTTAATAAATATTAATAATAATTCTCTAATATTAATTTAAATTTTAAATTATATACGATGCATTGTACTATAAACATTTTATGCAATATGCAATATAATTTTTGTCTTTATCTCTCTCTTTTAATTGTTTGTAGCTTTCCAAAGAGATTTCAAGATTTTTATTTATTAAGATTATATTTTTTTAAAATGTAGGAAGAAATATTTTCATTTAAAGATTCTTTAAAAATCTGAGGCTTCTAACAACGTCTGAAACAATTCAAAAAATACCAATAATATAATTATTCGAGAAACAAAAATCAAAATTATTTATTATTATTTATTATTTATTATTATATTATATCGAGATGAATGACAGTTCACATATCCGTTCTTAGAAAATAACTCATATAATTTCGGTCATTGCTCTTTACGCACAGTTAACTAACAAAGTGTACGTTGAGAGCTAAAATTTAAAAAGAAAAAAGAAGAAACAATGGATTACATAATCACGTAGATCTGTCGCACGCACCATGTTCATTTGTCGCTTGTTTATACGCATATGATCAGCCGCTTCTTTCTCGTATGTTATCTTCGATCGCTACGACCACCATTCCTATAACCACCGCGTCCACGTGAATTGCTCTTGGTTGTTGGCGCTGATTTCGTTGTCGAGTCCGATGAGTATCGCACTGATCCACCGGGTAAACCTGAGCTACCAGTAGTGCTGCTGGTGTTGCTGTTACCACTATTTCCACCACTGCTAGAAGTGCTATTGCCGTTGTTACCACCACCGCTACTGCCACTAGTATTTCCACCTTTTGTAGTAGTCGAACTTGTCGCTGACCCACTACTAGGAGTCGTGTTACTTTGACTTGCCTGTGACAGATTATATGTGTCTTTTTTAGTTGGAACGCACTAATCACTTGAATAGCAAGATTTTTTTCTGAGAATGTATGCGATTTTGGAATTACATTAAAATAAAGCAAATATAATAATAATCTTTAGCTTTTAGTTCTTTAATCTATATTTTCAGACTTTGTATTTGATATTACTTTATTATAGATATTTAAATGGTTTTTAACATATGCACAGGTTAAGAATATTAAATGTGAGTCTTTAAATAGTTTCATTTATTAAAAAAATGTGCACAATGTAATATTATGCAATTATTCTTCAATATTTACAAAGATTGTTTTTGTGCCTATTAGCCCTAACCACTCTATGTGTGTGTGTGTGTGTGTGTGTGTGTGTGTGTGTGTGTGTGTGTGTGTGTGTGTGTGTGTGTGTGTGTGTGTGTGTGTGTGTGTGTGTGTGTGCTAGTGTCAAATATGTCTATGCAGAAATAATAACAAAAATTTGACTGTAAAACATTATAAAAAAATTATTATTTGTAAAAAAAAATGATACATCGCGCTGTGATTCACCAGTTTATCGTATATGTAACGTTTTTTAAAATTCCATATACCAAAGGCTGCCGTCCTGGTTGACCCGAGATACTGTTGGCATTACCGTTGTTGGTAATGCTATTGTTGACGTTGCTGCCGGGCGGGCCCGAGCCGGTCTGATTGACCAGTTGCTGCGCCAGCATCGGATTCGGGTCACTCATGTTCACTTGCTCGTTGATCACCATGCAAAACTCGCCTATCTTTTGAATGTCACCGTTCTTGCCGGAATATAAAGTCAGGCATTGCCGCCAGACAGACGCGTAACCCTTGGTCAGTCGCACGATGTCGCCCGGCATTAGGAGCTGACCGGGCTCGTCCCAAATAGAAACGTTCACGCATGCAGTGCTGTCGGCCACTTTAAACGTTCGAACTTCGCGGTTTTCTTTGGTGATGGTAGGGTGGCTAACCTCCAAAACGATAAACACTACGTTGATGTTCTTTTGGCCAGCACGGATATCCTTTATCAGCACGTAATCCATTTCTCGTGTTCCTCCACAGATCGCGCACGGGCACACATACACGTATACACACGAGACAAACGCGCGTACGTAAATACGAGGCGAATCGAGACTAACAATCGCGTCGTTATGCGAGGGATACCGTCATCCGTGTCGGGTGGCGTGCGTTCTCCGATTGGTACGACACCGTCACCCACCAAACGTCAAATAACGTCTTCCCCTTCTCCTTCCCGTTGAATGCTTTGAGCAAACAAACCAAATCTTTCACAGGCTCCCCCCCCTTCTCTCTCTCTCTCTCTCGCCTCTCT